AGCCGAGCTGCGCCGTCCCGGGGGCTGAGGAGCGCCCGACCCCGAGGAGGAAGAGGAGGAGGAGGAGGAGGAGAAGGAGGAGAGGAGGGCAAGCAAGCGAACCCACTTCCTGGTGATTTTGTTTGAAAAGTCATTTATTTTTTATTTTTTTTTTTTTGGTTTAATGCTTTTTTGGGGTTTTTTTTTTTTTTAGGTTTTTCTTTTACGGAAACGCAAATAGTTTTAGAGACGCTGGATAGAAACCGACACAAATTCAAGTCCATGTGAAATTTTCTCCTTTTTTTTTGGCTGTTTTTTTTTTATTATTATTATTATTATTATTACTCTCTCCTGTTACGCGTGGGGCGTCCGGTTTACAAGAAGCAGACGGGGCCGATGTCGATGCCGAATTCCTGGTCTGGAGCGCCAACGTCCATGGGAGCCAAATCGATGATGGGCAGGCGAGAGGTCTTTGTCGTCTTGTACTCGATGACTGTCTTGCCCCAAGCGCCGGTGTGACTCTGCGGGGAGGTCAGGATCAGCCCCGTCCCCATAACACGTACCCACCATCACCGCCAACCACCGCGACCGTCCCCTGGACCACTCACCGTGCAGCCGTCTTCGGTGACGCCGTATGTGAAGCGGCTGTTGCCTTCAGCCCTGATCTCAATCTCGTTGGCACCTTGGAGGAGAAGGGCCTTCTTCAGGTTGCCGGTGTCCTGGTCCATGTAGGCGACGCTGTTCTTGCAGTGGTAGGTGATGTTCTGGGCGGCCTCAGTGGACATCAGGCGGAGGAAGGTCAGCTGGATGGCGACGTCGGCTGGGTTGGAGCCCTCACCACCATACTCGAACTGCCGGAGAAGAGGAGTTAGGCACCGCAGAGCTGGTCCTCCATCCCAGTTGGGGTCATGGTTGGATGATGATCCCCCGTCATCATCCCTCAACTCACCTGGAAGCCGTCACTCATCGTTTCGCCGAACCAGATGTGCTTCTTCTCCTTGGGGTTCTTGCTGAGGTACCAGTTCTTCTGGGCGATGGTGGCCTGGGTGGGGTAGACGCACGTCTCGCCTGTCTCCATGTTACAGTAGACCTTGATGGCGTCCAGGTTGCAGCCTTGGTTGGGGTCGATCCAGTATTCGCCTGCAGGGCAGAAGGAGGGCAGTCAGGGAGCGGGGAGGGAGGCAGGTGGCCACTATGGATGGAGGTTGGAGGTGAGGAGCAGGCATGAGGGATGGACAATGGAGGAGAGGAGCAGGCATAGAGGAAGGATGATGGAGGTGAGGAGCAGGCGTAGAGGAAGGACGATGGAGGTGAGGAGCAGGCATGAGGGATGGACAATGGAGGAGAGGAGCAGGCATGGAGGATGCAGGTGAGGAGCAGGTGGGAGGGATAGAGGATGGAGGGGTAGGTGAGGGGCAGCTGTGAGGGATGGAGGGTGAAGGGATGGAAGGTGGAGGTGAGGAGCAGCCATGAGCAATGGAGGAGGTCGGTGAGGAGCAGGTAGGAGGGATCTGGGGGGTGGAGCATGGAGTTGAGCAACAGCCGTGAGGAACAGAGGAAGGAGGTGAGGCACAGCTGTGAAAAATGATGAAGGGATGGAGATGAGGAGCAGGTAAGAGGGTTGGAGGTGAGGAGCAGCCACAGGAGGTAGAGGATGGAGGTGAGAGCAGCCATGAGAGACAGGATGGAGGAATGAAGGTGAGGATCTAACCAGGGGGGATGGAGGAAGGATGGAGGTGAGGAGCAGGTAGAAGGAAGAGAGGGATGGGGTTGAGAGCATCCCAGAGGGACGTGAGGACCGCTGGGGACACTGACC